GAGGCTTTCATCATCTTCATCTCTTGTTTGGAGAAGTTTTCTGAACTCTTCATCTAGTTTTTTATTAATTTATTTCTCATATATTTATGCTAGATTAATTTGGGTTTAATTTGTTTTACTTATTGTTTCATACACAACCATTGAGCCTAAGTATTTCACATATAATATTATTGGGTTGTGGGTGTGATCATTGAGTGAGCTTTCATTTTCGTTCTCATTTGTATTAGAGAACAAAATTATTTACTTGTGATTATTATTTAGAACACGTTGTAATACACAATGACACTTAGAGGAGTGGTTGAGAGAAGAACGAGCTCAATTCTAAGAGGAGTGGCTTGGTTGTAAAATCCTAGGGAGAGGTAGTAATTCTAAGTACTTGAGGAAGGTGATACGGGTCGGCCAACACTTAAAAATATATTGTGTGATTATCAACATGTGAGTTGTAAAAGTTTTCGGTGAGCTTTGGAAACTAATTGTGGAGAATCTTCTCGAGGTGAGGAGTGAAGACGTAGGTCGAGGGTTGACCGAACTCCATGAACATAAAATTATGTTTGTGATTGCTTTGGCGTTCTTTTATTATCTCATTGTTTATATCACCTATTGCTCATTGTATATTCTTACATATCTCATTGTATATCATATTGTCTAGGATAACTAGTTTATAAAGTTTTAATTTGGCATCAAAATCGGATTAGATTAGCAAATACCCTATTCACCACCCTAGGGTACTTTTATTTGGTATCAGAGTTTGGTGATCTTTGATTTGTGGCTTAATCGCCTAGAGTCAAAGATCCTCGCTTTGATTTATTACTAATCTAGTTTTATGATTTTTATTTTGCTTGCATAGTCTTCATGGATTTACACGGTGCACCTAGTTTAGGCTATTCTATAAACGTTGCTTCTAAATTCAATGATTTCTCTTATGCACAATGAAGTTTTAGATTTAAATTATTTGTTAAATCTAAAAATATCGAATTGTGGAAAGTTATTGGCTGTGCTTATGTTGTGCCTACTTTGGAGAAATCCAAGTAGAGCAAGTATGATAAAAAGATGTTTACTATGAACAAGTTAGTGTTAACATTTATGCTTAATGCTTTTGATTCATCCATTTCTAACAAACTTGCTTATTTTGATAGTGCTTACACATTATGAAAATATATAGAGGCACATCAAGGTAACTTGGAGGAAATCTAACCCGTTTCAGTGGAACCCGTTTCAAGTGAGAGTGGAGCTTCATCGTGCACACGGCCACTAGGCAATAGCCCTAGTGAGGTATGCGAGTCTGAATCCGATAGTAAATTACCTATAGTTAAACCCGCATGTGTATATGAGAAATTAATGAAAGCCTATAATAAATTGCATCATAATTTTATAGATTTTAAGAGCAAGCATGTAAGCTTAAAATCCGATCATGATTTGTTAGCAACTAAATTTGATATCATTGTCAAAGAAAATGTGACTCTTAAAGATAGCAATGATAAATTTAAATTGGAAATTGCTAACTTATCTAATAAGAAAAATAATGCCATATTAGAGGTAGAAACAATTAGACATAAATTTAATTCTTTCAAAAATAATCATGATTGTTTTACTTCTATTGACAATGCTATTGTGCATAATAATAAGTTGAATAATGTGAAAAACCGTATCTTATCTTTAGATCCAACTCTAAAAGCATGCATTGTCAAACATAAGAATCTTGTGGACATATGTGCTAAGTCACGAGCTATTTTTTCAAAATCACTCACTCACTATGCACATATGTATAGAAAAATTTATAAGTTCTCTATTTACGATCAGAAAAGCCATATTGCTAAATTTTGCTATGATGCACAAAAAACCTAAAAATGCTTATACTATTGCTCTTTGTGCGTCACATCAAGGTTCTTCATCATACAAACTCACATATGCACCAAATGTTCATCACAAGCATGTGAATGTGTTTAAATGTAAAGTTTGTGGTAGATTTGGACATTTAGCAAAATTTTATTTTGATTTGCATAAAATTTCTAATTTGCAAAATGTTCCAAAAAGATCACAATTATTTAAAAATGTTTCATGTACATATTCATATGGCCAACATAAACAAATGCATTCATTTCATTTCACTTATTATAATAGAATGGATCATTTGAGTAATTATTATCATGACCAATCTCGTGCACAAAATACGCCCAAATAGGGTCATAACCCAAGGGCCTTGGATTTTATTGATAGGGGTCATGTCCATAAACTCTCTGACACCAAGAGTGTTTGTTTGGCGAAAAATATTTAATTTAAAATCAATATTTTTAGTGTTTTCATTTCTTTTTAAGAAAAGTGTGTTTTTTTAAACTTATTTTTGAAAATAAATATTGATAAAAAAATCTTATCCTTAAAAACAATGCTTTTATTTTCATTACATATTATGATCTTTGTTGGTTTTGACTTTGAGAACATTGATTGTGACCAATCCTTTGCACTAGTTGCAAGGATAGAGTCAAACTCTTATATGTTTTAGGATTTGATAGTTTTAAAAATTTTAAACTATTTCAAATGCATGAAATGCATTTCTAAATATTTTTATATATGAAAAAGGTTTATATTGAGCAAGCCCCCGATTGTATCGATCTTTTACTTCCAAATCATGTTTATCGGGTTCAAAAAGTTTCACCTAAGAAATCTTATGTGTGCTCAATTATTAAATGGTTGATTCATAATTTCTTTATCTTTTGATGTGTGCTTAAATTTTAATGTTTGAACAAAATTTAGATTTTCATTTGGACTTTTATGATTGTCGTGATTTTTATGATTTTAATGATTTCCCTTCATTTGATTTCATGATCTATATATACATATAAATATATGTGTTGAGACACCTATTCTTAATGATACATATTTAAGTGTTCTCTTGTCTCTTTGAGTGTGAGTTGTCATATATTTTTTTGTTATATTCATATCACATATTTTTTATATGATTTAAGCCTCTTTGATAGGGGGAGCATTCCCTATATTAGTTTTATACTCACCACGCTTATAGATAAGGGGAGCGCTTGCTCTCTCTCTCTCAATACTTTTCCCCCCATTTTGATGTTGACAAAGGGAGAAAAAAAGTGTGCAATTGTGATTATATTGTTTTGATTAATTTGTTCATGCATTTGCATATTATTCTATATCATGCACTTTATATATCATTTGTGTAGATTGTTTGTCATCATAAAAAAGGAGGAGATTGTTGGGTTTTATAGTTATGAACCTACTATCTAATATTGTTTTTATAATTAACAAATAATTTCTAATCTTGTTTTCTTGTATTTGTATTTACTAGATATTCAATGAGCCTTAACGATGATATCATGAAGGTTAGAGGATATCAGAATGAAGTCATCACACATTCAAGTCAAAGATCATCCATCGTCTCATTCCCACACCAAGATCAAGTGTCAAAGAAGATATTTTAGCTTGGTACAATAGTTTAGGTTTTCCTTTATGTGTTATACTTAAAATCTCAATTTTTACACACATGTGCTATTTCTCGTTTTTATCGTATTTTGAGTCGTTTTTGAGAAAATAACGTATATTTGGATTATTGACTTACTGAGTTAGTTTTACATCTTTTCTAAGTCCTTTAATCCATTCAAAAGGATTCCAACACTTAGTTTAAATCGTTTTGACAAAATCAAGTGTTTAAATGAATACATATTTTTGAGATTTTACAAAATGACGAGTTTTTACAAACGAAAAATGATATTTGAAAAAATTCTTTTCTAACATGTTTGTTTTCATCAGAATAATCATTCCCCCAAGTTTCATAATTTTTGGAATTTATTTACTATTTTTAAACACACTTTGAAAATCAGTTTTACTGTTCTTATATGTGCGGTGCATGTTTTTCGGTCGATCGACTGTTCATATCAGTCAACTGATAAACTGCTCTGCAATTTCAAGTTTTGTTTCTGCTTAGCCGACTAATCTTTATCAGTCGATCAAATAGCCTATTAGTCGACCAATGATGTTCATCAGTTGACCGATGATGTTCTGGATTTTGCCAATGATCATATCATTAGTCAACCGATTCAACCAATCAGTCGACCAATAATGGATTTTGGCTCTAACAAATAGTTTTGGTATATTTTCTTTGAGAGGTTATAAATACCTCTCAATGCTCATTTATTGAGCTAAGTTTTCAAGGGTTTTCACTGAGGTTTTGGGCTGTTTGTTTCAAGTTTTTGAAGATCAAAAATTCGTTTATGTGAAGAGGTTTTCACAAGAGAAGGAATTCAATTTCAAGTTTGAGGCTTTCATCCTAAACATCTTCATCTCTTCTTTGGAGAAGTTTTCTAAACTCTTCATCTAGTTTTTTATTATTTTATTTCTTATATATTTATGCTAGATTGATTTGAGTTTAATTTGTTTTACTTATTGTTTCACACACAACCATTGAGCCTAAGTATTTCACATATAATATTATTGGGTTGTGGGTGTGATCATTGAGTGAGCTTTCATTTTCGTTCTCATTTGTATTAGAGAAAAAAATCATTTACTCTAGCTTATTTTTGAGAACACGTTATAATAAGGACACTTAGAGGAGTGGTTGGGAGAAGAACGGGATCAATTCCAAGAGGAGTGGCTTGGTTGTAAAAGCCTAGGGAGAGGTAGTAATTCTAAGCACTTGAGGAAAGTAACACGGGTCGGCCAACACTTAGAGAAGTGTATTGTGTGATTATCAACTTGTGAGTTATAAAAGTTTTTGGTGAGCTTTGGAAACCGATTGTATAGTTATTATGTTGATAGTGGATAATCTCCTCGAGGTGAGGAGCGGAGACGTAGGTCGAAGGCTGACCGAACTCCATAAACATATCATTGTGTTTGTGATTATTTTGGCGTTCTTTTATTGTCTCATTATTTATATCGCCTATTTCTCATTGTAATTCCTTGCATATCTCATTGTATATCATATTGTCCAGGATAATTTGGCATCAAAATCGGATTAGATTAGCAAATACCCTATTCACCTCCATATGGTACTTTCAAAACAGACCATTTTGTCCCGGTCTACGTTTGAGGCAGAACTTTGCGCTTTGGACACTACTGGTTTAGAAGTTGAATGGCTTAAGGAACTTATGTCAGATTTGCCCAAGATCAACAAGCTTATTCCTGCAATCTCTGTGCATTGTGACAATATGACCACAATTGCAAGAATTAAAAGTTCAAAGTATAACCGGAAAACACGAGGCCATATCCAAATACGGATAAAGACTGTGAAGAAGTTTGTTGATGAAGGGGTAATTGCTGTGGATTTTGTCAAGTCTAAGGATAACATAGCAGATCCCTTTACAAAAGGACTTGAGTTGTCACTAGTTCTTCAATCCAGGTTGATGATGGTACTGAAACCCTTACATAACTCATCGATAGTAGCAACCCAACTTATCTGAGTGGAGATCCCACAAAGTAGGTTCAATGTGGTAATAACAAACTGTTGGGTGAGTTGAACACCTAATAATAGATTGATACATTGTATCTGAGTCTATCATCATGTATACCTGGAAGGTGTTGATATAATAAAGTAAGTGTGTTTTGACTCTGAATGAGATTAAGCCTTTAAGACGAGATGAAAGCAGTGCATCCTCGGAGATGCCCAACTATATGAACATAATTGTGTGGCTGCAATTAGAGGAAGGGGGTTATTCCTTAAAATTGTTCATGAAAAGGATAAGGACACATGGCTATAATGCGTCAAAGCTAAAAATTGCTTCTATAGCCTATATCGTGTTGTTACCAATGATTATCACCACATCAAAGGTTCAAGTTCAAGACATAGTTTCACTTCGTATCTGTGGTGATAAAATTGGATAACTATAGGGAAGGTTCAAATCGAAAGATATCTTCTCTGAAAGCATGATATGTATAATCTTTATTACTTTCAGCTATGAAATTGTGGGGGATTGTTAAAATAAATGATTCTTAGAGGGGTTTTATGGAAAGATATCATTTAATGATTGGATTCCATAGATGAAAATTAAATTGTGTTTAATTAGTAGCATGTGAGTTTTAGTTCCACATTGGCTAATTAAATGTATTTTAGTTGGTTTAAATTAACACATTGTTATTTATGGTATAACAAAGGTGTTAGTATTATACACTTGTGTTGGTATATAAGCGAGCGTGCGAGCAAGTGAGCAGGTTTGGGCACGTGCTCTTTTTGCATGCGCTGTGCTTTAAATGAGCTTAAACGTTTTTCATATGCTCACTTAAAATCAGCTGAACTTTTTCGTATGTTACAAACGTTATAAGGATTGAATAGGTTTTATTGCAAACGTTACAAACGTTGCAATAACTAAAATTTTAAATCTTTGTCTCCCGTGAACCCTATAAAAGGGCCTCTTCTGATCATTTGAAAGATACAGATCAGAAAACGAAATCTCCTGTCTTCTTCTTCTTCTCTCAATAATTCTATAAACTGTTTAGTATTTGAGATTTTGGTGATCTGAAGAAGTAGTCGAGGTGTTCATAAGAAGAAAGCGCTTCTTTGGACTGCAGCCGTCTCATCCTCAGAAGTACTGTGCAGACCCAACACTACCGTAGGTGGGGCATAGTTTCTTCAATGTCAGTGCTCCATTGAGAGGGCGATTTGGCACTTCTGTAAAATATTTCGAACTTGAAGCATTTTTTAATAAGATGGTTCTAACTTTCTGGTCTTTTCTTTCATTCCTATATGATTTGTTCTGTAATCATTTGGATCTGTTTTTATGCTTGCTATTCCCAATACATGCTTATATTTAATTATTTAATTTTCAATTCTACAACTTGTTTGATTTTTCTTTAGCGATCTCGCAAATTGAATTTGAACGGACAATTAACACCCCCTTTATTAACATTTTGCAAACAAGTACATTGAGAAATGTTTTAGGAGGGAAATTGTAAATTGATCCATTTTACTACTTGAGCAAGTCTTAGCAGCAAGTTATAAAACAATATTAGAATTTAAAATCTTTGAATTCGAATGGGTTAATTACGGAAAAACTCCCATTAACTCTTGGTGGCTTCTTGGGAGTTGCTGTGAATCCCCGTCAACTTTTTGTATTAGACTAAAATCCTCTAAACTTTAGGAGATATTGCACGTAATCCCAATGGACGAGTTTATTTTACTAAATCTTATCTAAAAATTTATCTTTTAATTTCCATATGAGCACCATAAACTTTAATGTGCCATTAAAAAGCACATGGCAAAAATAGGGAAAAAAAACTTCTTAGTAATAAAAAATATAATTTTATTAAAAAATAGGTAATTTTTTTAGGAATAATAAATTATTATTATCTTTTTTCTAGAACATGCCTGCCACATGAAATGTTAGAATAGACAGTAATAATTTGAAGATTAAATGAGAAATTTTCGTGTAATAAAAAATAAACGAGTTTGACTTCCCAAAAAGTTGTTCTTGGGTGTTTTCTGTAATTAACCCGATTCGAATACACTCCCCGTCTTAATCGTAACTACTGCTTCACTAGCAGAACCTGCTTCATCGGGACGTCTGCCACATTTTCCCCATCAAGGTTCAAATAGTTTCGCTTTCTTGAGAAAGAAAACAACAGTAAAGCTACCATCCCCCGCTCGGCAAGCCAACTCCAAAAAGAACCCAAATTTCCCCAACCCCTAAAGTTTAACCTCTTCAAGCATTCATTCCGGGTTGGTTGCCACTCAGGCAATCGCTAAAGACTTGTACCAAAATCCTGATAACCTTCGACCGACGAAAGGGTATCAGGTTCAAACCTTGTATCGACCAACTTCATGATAAACTACTAATATCCGCATTTGCTACGAGCTCGCTCCACCCGTTTTCCTTCCGTCAGAACCTAAAAAAAAAAATCATTCCAGAACACCTCCGCCCCCACTACGAATCCCCTCCCGACTTCCGACTCCAGCGTTGTCATCGCAGCCTCCGCCTCAACCTCAACCTCAACCTCAACCAGCTCCTGCTGCTCGACGGGCTCAGAAATCACCGTCACCGTCACCATCTCCATCAAGAAAATCATCACCACGGCTGACACCATCACCGTCTCGCTTGGATGCCAAGCCATCTTCGCCGCCTAGAGAAGTAGCAGCATCAACAGCGACAAAGACGAAGCCATCACCACCACCAACGCCTACAACAGAGGGAAGTTCCTTGCCCCCATCTCCACTTCTTTCTTCTGCCCCCTCACCTGAATCAGCAGAAAAACCATCCTCCTCACAATCACAGCCTCCTGCAGAGAGAACGCCACAAATCCCGACCAAACCAATAGAAAAATCAGAGGAAGAACTGGCTTCCACTGATCCTTTGCCTGAAAAGGCTCCAACTCCTGCTCAACTCCCAAAACCTCAATCAAAACGTGAGGAGAGTAAACAAGAGCCCGAACCAAGTTTACTGAGCCCAGAACACCGAATATCTGATGAAAAACCTGGAGAGGTTCTGAAAGAGAGAACTAAAGCCAATTCCGAACTGAAACAAGATATAGAACCCTCAGAACAGCAAAAACTAGATAAGGAACCCAAAAGCATTCCAGATGACAAAACCAAACCTAGTATGGAAGCAAGACAAGAGATACACGCTTCCCAAGAGCCGAAACTAAATGAGAAACCTGAAAGCATGCCAAAAGACAAAACTGAAACCGATTTGGAACCAAAACAAGAAACACAGGCTTCTCAAGTGCCTAAACTAGATGAAAGGCCTAAAGAAATTACAGAACAGAAAGCCAAACCTAAGCCTGAGAAAGAGCAAGAGAGGAAGCCCACTGAAACTCTAAAATCGGATAGAATTGCTGAAGAATCTAAAAAGGAGAAACCGCAAACTGAAGCAGAAATCAGGAAGAAGCCAACTGATGCTAGGGATAAGAAAATGGAAAGGGCGCTATCTAGCATGATGGCAGATGTTCAATCCGATACTAAAGTTAGAGTACCAGAAAAGTTGAAAGATGAAGAAAAGGTGAACAGCAAAGAACAACACCGATCCATTGGTAAAGTTAGCAAGGTTTCAATTTCAACTGGTCCGTGGGATTCTTCATGTGATGATGAGCGACCTAATATCCAAAAGGAGATTAAGGAGGGGCTCTCCAAATTGGTCCAGAAGCTAACCATTGAACACTCAGGACGAACTGGTATCGATCAAGGAGTGAGCATCCTAACATTAGCAGGCAAAAACAAAGGAGCAACAATGTTCATAGGCTCCAAGAAACAAGGGAAAGACGATGTAATGGAAACCAAAGGCGAAGAAAGATCTAGAGATACACCGGTTACTGCCACTGTGAATAGTAATGTGCAGAGCATCAACAACTCAGTCCTAAATGAGAGTAAATGCGAAGAAAAAAATCCAGGTGTACACTTGGTTGTCTCTAGCAAGCCAACAGAGCCAGTAAGTATAAAGGGGTTAATGGAAGCTCTTAAGCCTCAAAAGACTGCTTCCAGCGTAACCACACCTCAGAAGCTCACTTATGAGCCCAATGTCAGAAGACGGTGCCTACGAGGACTTTTTATGGAGCCAAGTGAGGATGATATAGAAGACCCTCAAAAACCCCGGCGCCATGGGTGCCGTGTCAGATGCGATGAGCAAAAGAAGGGGAAAGAAGGCAAAGATGATGAAGGAACCTCCAAGCGTAACTACTAGCAACGGAAGTCATGAACTTAGTTGCGTCAATCTAACAATCTTTCTTTATAGGAAAAAAAATACGTATGTGTTACTTGTTTTCATTCAAATATAAACATAACCTGTCATATCAATGTACACGTATCAAGAGCTTATGTTTGATGATTGAAATACATACCTGTTAACATTAACAGAAGTGTGTTCAAATATATTTTCAGACGACAAAGTATGGCTTATCAGTTATCCCTTTACATGATACAATATCAGCAATGCAAAATGAGATGGTTATAAATATTATGTATAAGAAACATCATATTTTCTTTCTTTCAATCTTCCAATAAGCATATAAAAAGACCACAGATAAAACAGAAATACATGTCGAGAACAAACCTCCAGTTTGACAGTGAAACCCTTCAACACAATTTGAGACGAGGGCTGGGAAGTGAAGAGTACTTCACCATGAATAGATTTACATCGTCAGTTTTTAACCTGCACAAGTGTGGGAGAAATGTTGAGACCAATGTTTGCATTATCTATCCATTCCAATGCCGGCTTAGTCTCAACGTTACTCAAACAGATAGCAAAGGCCAGGAATGCGGAGAGTGGATATCAGTAAACCATTGTGAAGATATCCTTTCCTATCTTCCCAAACTGAAGTATAACAGGATCTTGTTCAGGCAATGGACTTTGGTGGGAGTAGTCCACAGCTGACAATGGAAGCTACTGTTACTCTTCCTCTGAAATTTAGGCGCCAGCACTGGAGCTGTTCATGCCACCTTGGAGCCTTGTTTCTCAGAATCAATGGTTCTGCTAGAGTCAGGACTGGTCCTGGAACAACTGTGAGGCTTGTAGAAGAAAATTGAATTAGAATTAAACCTTTGCAATGCGGTAATTTCCATCTGGTACTCTTAGAGAAATTTGCTTAGAATTAAACCTTTGGTTCGAACAGCTTTTTGATAAGATGGCAGCCTCAGAAGGGGGCTGGCTGTCATAGACGGTGAACTTGGTCCCAAGGATGTTAGACCTGATTGGAGTTCCTCAAGAACAAAGAAAATAAAATAAAAATAAAAATAAAAACTATTGTATTAACAGAGGAAACACAGGATGAAAATTCCTTTTGAGTATTATAAAGTCTACTTACCTCAGCTTTCCAACATAAGCAGTGCTAGTTCTGGAGAAATCATCTGAGACTAAAGAAATCACAAAATCAGTGCTCGTTGCATGCTTTATCTTAGAAGGGGCAAGCAAAAGTTTCTCGTTCTCTCCCTGCAGAACTGCAGTTTAAATAAAGCCTAGTTAGGCTTAGCAAATACATAGGACTCATAAGAACTGCGATGTAGTCCAACCCTACTCTTAGCATCTGATGATCTGTAAAAAATCACCAAACTTATCATTTCTCACATCACGATATTCAATTTGAGTGACTTACCTAATTAGTTAGTGTGCATCAGCACGGATGTGCGCATTCGTGGGCGTGTTCATGGGCATGGGTGGGTGGGTAAATGCTCTCTCGCACACGTATGACCAATTTAGGCTTAACGGAACTCGTTCCAGGACCCAGGATAGGACAAAGGAATCTATATGTGACTTCCAACTGGTGTAGTTGCCTAATTAATTACTAGGAAAGGGAGCGAAAGATGTATTAGTTGGACTAGCATCATTTTAATTAACAAAAAAGAAAAAATAGAAACTTAAAGTTCAAATCAGCTTTAATCAAATTGTTCTTCCAATTAACTGCTGGATAATCATGCTCCTTAAGTGACTCCGATACACCTTGTTTGGATGGAGGTTAATGGATGGAAGTTAAAGTAAAATTTCAATTTCACCTTGTTTGGGAGTTTTTTTGAGGGGTTAGAGGATAGAAGGAAGGGAGCGAAAGATGTATTAGTTGGACTAGCATCATTTTAATTAACAAAAAAGAAGGAGAAAAAAAGAAACTTAAGCTTCAAATCAGCTTTAATCAAATTGTTCTTCCAATTAACTACTGGATAATCATGCTCCTTAAGTGACTCCGATACACCTTGTTTGGATGGAGGTTAATGGATGGAAGTTAAAGTAAAATTTCAATTTCACCTTGTTTGGGAGTTTTTTTGAGGGGTTAGAGGATGGAAGGAAGGGAGCGAAAGATGTATTAGTTGGACTAGCATCATTTTAATTAACAAAAAAGAAGGAAAAAAAAAAGAAACTTAAGCTTCAAATCAGTTTTAATCAAATTGTTCTTCCAATTAACTGCTGGATAATCATGCTCCTCAAGTGACTCCGATACACCTTGTTCGGATGGAGGTTAATAGATGGAAGTTAAAGTAAAATTTTAATTTCACATTGTTTGGGAGTTTTTTTGAGGGGTTAGAGGATGGAATGGAAGGTTAAATTTCCTTCCATTTTCCTCCCCTCCAATTTGGGGATAGAGCATGCAATAGAATCAATGGCTAAGATATACTTCCATCCAATATGTAAGCGTATTTATGTAATTTTATACATAATCACTTCACTTCCCTTCTCTTTATTAGAACTCCCAAACAAGATAAAGACAAATTTGCTTCCGTTCTCCTTACTAAACTCCCAAACAACATTGTATCTTTTCACTTCCATTCCCTACATTTCCTTTCCATTATTTAACTTTCCGTCCATTCCCTTAGTAAACTCTCAAACAAAGCAGTAATAGGTTTGTTGTGGGGGCGTAAGTCTACAGATGAGAATATGAAAGAGAGATCCCACCTGAAAACAATGTTTTGTTGCTAGGATTCAAACTGTGATATTGATACCTGCTAGGATTCAAATTATGACAATGCCAAAAGACTGACTGCATATATGATGTGACACATTCAGTTTGTTAACTTTTTGTTGATGGTATAAGATTATAGAAAGTAAAGAAAATGCCAAAAGACTATTGCGCTTATATATAAGGATAAAAGTTATATAGGAGCGCACACCTTGATAAGAACGAACTGAGTTTATGCAACCTACTTTTACAGAATCAAGCTAAAGATACACCTACCAAAGCTTGAGAAGGCATAGTCAATCTTCAATTCCACGTCCTGCCAAGAATGAACTTGACATTATTCACGATGTTGTGAGCTATATTATGCTTTTTCCAATATAAGCGGGGTAAACAATAAAGCCTGCGAGCATGGTAGCCTCCTCCTAGCTGTATTTCCGGCGTCATAAACAACCGTACATCAACCACATTATGAAACATAATATGAAGCGTCGTCATTCTTCAAACACTGCTATCCAACACCCGATAAAAACACGAACGCACAGCGAGGTTCCCATCTTTATGCACTTCACCTTCTTCACCCATACGCTATCAGCACACAATCATGGTAATTTCATTGCAAAAAGAGTCAACAAACATGAAAAAGATAATCAAGAGAGAGAAAGTTTACCAGGGCCTAGCTCCAGATTCGAGTGATACCGTCCGAGTCGCCCGCTCCCTCTTAATGAAGCACTGCCCCAATCAATAATCAGCACGCCCCCCCCCGCCCCCCCCACCAAAAAAATAAATAAATTAAATGAATTAGATAGATAAACTTCAGATTACGAACAATCAATTGCCTGCGGAAGCTTGAGAGAGATCGGGAATTGCAATCCCGCCCCTTCTCACGGCCACCGGCCGCCTCTCTATCACGAACCTGCAGCAGCAGCCTGCGGCCCGGCCTCGCGCGCTCCGCCACCCGCCCCCTGCTTTGCTCAGTGTTGCTTCTCTCGATTTAGTCGCCATCCCCTCCCTCCTCTCCCTAATTTTATGGGTTTGGATGAGGGTTTGAGTCTAGTACAGCTAGAGATCGAAAGAGGGGGAAGGAGATCTATCACAAAATTAGGGTTTGGGCCGGAGTTGGATTCTTATCCGGAGCAAGGAAAAATCGTCTCAATACCCCCAGAAATGAAAAGTTCATCTGGCCCAGCCCTCCTAATTATTTCTATTGATTATTGGCCCCTAAAATTGTATTTTACCCGCCCAAATATCTCCATCATCTCCTCCCTCCCTCCTCTCTTCCAACCCACTATGCTGCTGTTCCTCCCTCCTCTCCTTCCCTCTTCTAAGGGCATCTCCAACAGATTCTCTAAAATTTTCTCCAAAACGAGGAAGCAAAAGTCATATTCTTCAAATTATTTTTACACCAACTCCAACAGCTTCCTCATTTTGAAGAATCCCTTCAGCTTCCTCATTTTGAAGAATCTATTTTTTCCTTCAAAAATTTAGAGAATGATGCAGATTTGGGGAAGCTTTCCCATTTTTTCTCCTCCACCCCTATTTTGGAGAATGAGATGGGGAATCTGTTGGACCAAAAACCTAACTAAATTCTCCAAAAGTGGAAAATGGAAAAGCTGTTGGAGATGCTCTAATCCTAACATTCATTCCGCTCCTCTCTCCTCTCCTCTCCTCTCCTCTCCTCCTATTTTCTCTTAACTCTAACCCTAACCCTCCTCCTCTCCCTCTTCATCTCCCCGCTGACTCTGTCATCTCCCTCTCCCTTTACCTCCTCTGTTACCATCGGCCTCTCCTCTCACTCTTCTTCCTTATCACGACTATCTCCCATGTCGTCCTTCGTTGACATTGCTTCCTACGTCGTCGTCTTCTGTCGCTACCATCTTTCATTACCCCTCAACAAGAAAAGCTCTATAGTGATTCTCCCGCTCTCTTCCTCTTTCCTCAATTTTATTCAGGCCTCCA